CGGCTGCCATGGATTAGACGCAGACGGCAGAGCCGCTGAAGACACCGCTGCGGGGGGACGTGGTGCTGTCAGTGTGCCCGCTGGTCCAGGGGAGACAGCCACATGCACACCCATGCCCCTGTGCCCACACTGTCCCCTGCCAGCCCCAGAGTCGCGCACGGCACCCTGGGGGTGACAGGAAAGCCGGTCCAGCCTGGGGGACCGCTGGCTGTGCCGATGCCAGACCTGGGAGTCTGGCAGCTGGGCTGGTGAACCAGCTGCAGAGGAACCAGTGGAATGGCCGGTGGCCCTTCCTCTCCCAGCTGGGTGCTGGTCCTGCCCTTCTCCCCCTCAGGGCTTGCCATGGGGCAGCACTGGTGAGGAGCTGGGGGTCCGGACTGCCCCGTGCAGGGCCCAGCCAGACCCCCGCGTACCTGGAGATGGTGAAGAGGCCAAAGACGAGGGGGTTCTGGGGGTCCCGGGTGCGCAGGAGGAAAACATCCTCTGCAAAGAGAGGGGTGGAGATGAAGTGCCCTGGAGGTGGAGCACAGGTCCAGAGGATGCAGGCAGGCGTCCTCGACGCCATGCCCACCGCCCTGGGGTGTCCTGGCAGGAGCGGCCGTGGTGGAGCAGCGTTGCTCCTGGCTGTAGAGCAGGCCGGGGGCTCACCGCGACTGGGTCTCGGTGCCCTGGGGCCCGGGGATGGAGCACACCAGGCGGGCCTTGAGGAACGTGCTCCAGCGGTTGATGAGGCTGCGCTTCCCTCCGACGTCGTTCTGCCGGGCACCAAGAGCCGGGCTCAGCCCAGCCTCTCCGAGCCTCCCCCACCGCCGTGCGCTCCTCAGTCCCCACAGGGGAACACCCGCAGCCCTGAGCTCTCTGCTCTGTAGGGGGGCTGTGCTGATAACCCCATGCCTTGTGCTGGCCCCTGCTTGGGAGGTCTTGTGGCCCAGAGGAGGTAAAAGCCCACCCAGTGGGACACCCGGGCACAGCAGGCCGGCCTTTGGTGACTGACCTTGCAGACCCGGGCCACCCTGGCATGGATGTGCCGCCTCTCCCACTGCCCCGCTTCCGTGGCCGTCTCACGGAAGAAGATGTAGACCTTGTCATCGTGTGGGTTGTAGGTATCAGGGATGGCATAGGCGCCAACAAACGCGGGCTCTGCGGGGGAAAGGAGCAGCACAGTGTGGCCCTGTGCCCTGATCTGACCCTGTTGTGTTGTCCTTGGAAGCCCTTGGGAGCACAGTGAGATGCTGAGAGTAGGCAGGGTGCCCCATGGAGACCCTGCTACCTGCGAGGCAGAGCCCCATTCCTGGTGCTCGGGCTGCAGAGTGCATGCTAGTGCGTGGGTCTGGCCAGAGGATCCCTCAGTGCTTCGCCCCGGAGAGGAGAAGGGGGCCAGACCTCTGAGCTCTGGACCCAGTGCTGGCCCCAGCCTCCTCCCTGTCCCATGGGTCCCCCTGCTCCTACCGTGTAGCCAGTGGTCCTGGTTCTGCTCCGTCCGGATGTAGCTTTGCTCGGCCCCGTGGACCCAGGTCCGGAAGAAGGCAGCGCTGCTGCCCATGAAGTCACTGGAGGTGCCCGAATAGAGCTCCCCATCTGCAGGGTCAGAGTGGGCCGTGGGTGGGCTGGGTCCCACTGTGGGAGGGCCCCTGGCAGGGCACCCCTGTGTCCTTGGAGTCTTGGGGAGTGTGGAGGGGGCACAGCCTGGCTGGCACCCTGCTCCAGACCCGTGACCCAGCACGGCTTCTAGCCCCCAACCCTCCTCTCCCTTCCACAGCGCCGGCACGAGGCGGGCGGGCTGGTGACACCGCACACCCCCATGCGCGAGCCGCTCGCTCTGCACCCCGCGTCCGTGATTCTGTGCAGGACCCGCGAGGCCGGAGTGAGCCAGGGCAGG